GGGGGGGGGAGAAGCGGTGGCGGGGGGCTTTTCGCCCCTCCCCTCCCTCCCCACCCCCGTCTCCCTCCCGGGCTTAGGTAGCAATTGTTTCACTGTAGAAAAGTCTGCTCGGTATCCCTTGCCCCTCTCCCCCAGAGACCGCCCTGCATCCACCTAGGATGCGATTAGAATGATATTCCCATTAACAGTACTTTGTTTTGGGTATCTCGTCCAGGTACCAAGGGTTCATTTTTTGAATAATATATTAGAACTGACTCGCAGGCGTTCTGTGTTCATGTTGTTAGCCTGCGGCGGACTCTGTTCCAGTGCCTAGAATCGCAAAATAACCAGTTCTTCGTCACTGCTGTCTCTCATTCTTGGTTTCTTCTACGCTGTAATCTCGAGCTTCAGTCCACATCTGTTATTTCATGATTCATTGTCACAGCCATTTCATCAAAACACTGGTCGTTTATATGACTTGATCTACTTTCTCGCTGCTCGTTTTCAGTCAGTATTTAAATCATTTGCCACTGAATGTAATTTTTTGACGTTTTTTTGTGAACTGCTGTGATTGAGTGCCTCACTGGTTTTAGGAACTGATGATTCAAAGCGAATAGAGGAAGTCGCTGTTGAAAAAGAAATGGACGGCACTGAGCGATTTCGTGAAGAAGTACGCTACTTGCAATCAGTTTTCGCATTTTTGGCATTGAGGAGGCAACTTTTGTTAGTTCTTATGCATTTTCTTTGCAGGTGAAAGAAAGCATGGATCGAATTGCAAAAGCGAAACACTGTACGGAACAGCTGATGAAAAATTTGATTCTCGAGATAAATAGCTCGAAATTGGCCTACAATATTTCGATGGAGGATGTCGCGCGCAATGTTTTCTTGTCTTTCCTCGCCTTACGCGATAATTTTGCTGATCTAAAACAGGTAAAATGCTCGTCACTGAAGATTTTTTATGGTTTTATCGTATGTGAATTTCCTGACAATCACGAGCCATAAATTGATATTAGATGATTTTTGGTCATGTATTATTTATAATTTTTACTTTTGAATTTTTTTTGCCAGTATTTTTTTAAAATTCATTGTACATTTAAATTGTTGTCATTTCTAATATTTTCTTGTTAAACAATTTCCCGCCACTGACTTCTTGAATATTTTCTTTTTTGTTGCGTGGTTTTCTGTCGTCTTGATTCTTTATGTTTCAGTACTACAATTAATAAGAACTCAATGTTCTTGAAGTGTTATGAATTCCTCCTACATTTTTTTTTTTTCACACGTACTAACGTATCATTGCAGTTGGCAAAAAATTGGCGCACGTTGTTCATAAATTATTATAAACCGAAGAAAAGTCAAATTCAAGCGCTCTTGGCAATCGAGGTAACTTTTTTTTGCATTTATTCTGGCACAGATTTATCGGGGATAAATTTCACGTGCTAGATTGCTATCACTGTTGGACAGAAACAATAGCAGTGCCTTATTCATAGAGCGGAAAGAGAGTGTATTGGTGCGCTTTTTATGCGTTTTTTGCATTTATGCAGCGCAGAAAACGTATGTTGATGAGAGGTTGTCTGTGTGTGCGTTTATACGATTATTTATCTCAAGGTCTATAAAAGCTACAGGGCTGAAACTCCGGGAATTTAATGTACATGCACGCACGGGCCCCAATGCCAAAAATGGACCCTCTTGCCCACGTGGTACCCAGGTCGGGCCGTGAAAGTTTTTTACGAGTAAGTCACTAACTCGGGAGCCGGAAAAGCTAGAAAGCTGAAATTTTAAGGGAATGTTCTCTGTCCACGTAAATCTTAATAAACTTCAAAGTTCCCGGGTTTGCGTGGTACTTACGTGCAGGCCCGCCAAAGTTTTTTTGGAAGGTTGCTAACTCGAGAGCCTGAAAAGCTAGAAGACTGGAATTTTAAGAGATTGTTTCCCGTCCACGTAATCTGAGCGAGCTCAAACCCAAACATTGGGTGTGCATGGTACCCACGCATGGGCCGTGAAAGTTTTTTGCGGGTAAATTCCCAACACGGGGAACTGGAAAGTTAGAGGGCTGTAGTTTTAAGGGGACGTTCCCTGTCCACTTAAGTCTCAATGAGCTCAAACCCACACACCGGGTATACGTGGCACCCACCTACAGGCCTGTTAAAGCTTTTATCGGGTAAGTTGCTAACTCGGGGAATTAGAAGGTTAGAAGGCTGTAATTTTAAGGGAATGTTCTCCGTCCACGCAGATCCCAATAAGATCATAGCCAACGCCCGGGAATGCGTGGTTCCCACGTACGGGCCGGCCAAAGTTTTTTACGGGCAAGCTACTAACTCGGGAACCAGAAATGCTGGAAAGCTAGAGTTTTAACGGAACGTTCTCCGTCTACGTAGGTGTTAATGAGCTCAAACTCAGCTTCCGGGTATGCGTGGTGCTCACGTGTGGGCCTGTGTAAGTTTTTTTCGGGTAAGCTGCTAACTCGGGAACTGATAAGCTAAAGGATCGGAATTTTAAGGAGATGTTCCTCATCTCAGTGTGTATTAATGAGCTCAGACCAAGACACTGGATATGCGTGGTATCCACGTACGGACCTGTGAAACTTTTTTTCGGGTAGGTTGCAAACTCGAGAGCCAGGAAAGCTAGAAAACTGAAATTTTAAGAGGGTGTTTCCTGACAGTCTTGGCTGCCAGTCTTAATTTGTTTAGCTAGAAGCATTTGCCGGAAAAACCGGTGCCGGCAACAAAAGAAACTGCGGAAAACTATACAAAAAACGCATCTTCGCACCGGCAGCCGGTACATTGGCCAGTTATTTACTTTTCGTGCTTTGAAAACAACGCTATAACCATGAATCTGGAGAAAAGTGGATAGTATATTTTGCTACTTTGAGGTTTTAGAAAGCTGTTGTCTCATGGTCCTTCTCACCATTGATGCAGCTGGTGGTAACTTTTCCACTCTTTACTATGGGCTTCATTCATCAACAGAGTTCCTTGTAGACGTTCAAATGCATTGATAGCTTTCTCTTTTTATGCGTTTTGTGCTGAGCAACAGCTGCACAAAACGCATGTTGTCACGGAGTTGTCTGTGCATGTGTTTTTGTGCATTTATTTGTGTTTGTGTGTCCGATGCATTTTGTCCGCAACTTCCGACTCAGGAACCACAAAAAGTAAGAAGCTGAAAATTAGGGGGATGTTCCCTGCCCACGTATGTCTTCGCAAATTCAGCTTCAGCCTTTCCTGCCTTTGGGTATCACGTAAGACCTCGCGAGGATTTTGGTGGGGAAATGATTATCTCAGGAACCATAAAAGCCAGCAAGCTGAAACTTTGCTGCGACGTTCCCTGCCCACATACAACCCCGCGAATTTTAATTCAACCTTCCCGCGCTCCCGGGTGTCATGTACGGCCCCTTGGAAGTTTTGAATAGGAAAAATTATCTCGGAAACCACTTGGTAAAATCATCTCGGAAATCACTAAGAAGCTGAAATTTTAGTGTAGTATGCCTTGCTTACGTATGACTCCACAAATTTAGATTCATCTTTCATTTGTGCGTGGGTGGCAGCTTTCCTGTAAAAGTTCTGGCGGGAAAAATTATTATTAAAAGAGCCAGGAGACTGCAGATTTCTGGAGGATGTTTTCTACCTGTGTTGAAGCCTCATAAACTCAAATTTAGTCCCAAGTGTGCCGGGACCTCACGTAAAATCACGCGGAAGTTTCGGCGCAAAAATCAGTCGAAAGCCAAAAAATTAGTAGAGTGCAATTGTGGAAGGGTGCCTACCGCCGAAGGCTTTAAGTTCAACTTACACGTACCGGAGCGTGAAATTTTTAGTGGGAAATCTCGCAACTTCGGAACCAAATGACATTCCAACTATTTTTGCAAAAACCAAATTGCCAAGCACTGAAAACATTTAGCAAGCAAACGTTCGCTAGACGAAACTGCGCAAGGCGCATAATCGCATTGGCTACCCTAGTGCGTGACGCTATTTATCATAGTATTGCATGGATATCGTTCAGCAGTTTGCTTTGTCCATCTGTTGTCTTATCAAACGAATAGCTTAGCCCTTCTTCCTCATGTTTAGATTACTTTGTTACTATTACTCATACCATGTTAAAACCGAATTTTTTGATTGGAAATCTGCTGGAGCTTTCTGGCATCTACCAGGCTGCATAATCGGAAAAACTGATGAATATAACAAATCGGATCAGAACTGCAAAGCTTCCTAAAACACCAGAAAGCAGGGTGCTGTGGTAATTTATGGTAGTGGTTCTGCTTTGACTCAGTAGAGGCTCCATCTTTTTCCTGGTTTTTTTCATAATTAGCTATGCCGATGTTTTTTCTCGTAAAAATTGAGCTTAGTTTCCCAAAATTTTTGCAGGATTATCTGAATGCTAAGCCGAGTTTCGAATCGAAGGTAGCCAAAGTTGTGCATTTATTCTATGAAGAGGATATAATTGATGAAAATGCGATTGTGGAATGGTACGGAACATTGAGTGAGCATTCACCAGTGAAAGCAGCTGTCCGTCCAATCGTCGACTGGCTGAAGGAAGCATCCGATGATGAATCTGGCGACGATTAGTCTCATGAGATCTCAATCATTTTTATGCGTTTTTTGCAGCTATGTAGTGCGGAAAACGCATATTGGCGAGAGGTGTTCTGTGTGTGGGCTAGGCCTTTGTACCGATTTTTCATCTCGAGACCTACAAAAGCTACAGGGCTGAAACTTCGGGAACTTAATCTACATGCATGTTCCGGCCCCTATCCCCCAAAATGGGCGGTCTTACCCGCGTGGTACCCACGTACGGGCCCGTCAAAGTTTCTCGTGGGTAAGTTGCTAACTCGGGAAACTGAAGTGAGAAAGTTTTAGTTTTAAGGAGATGTTTCCTGTCCACGTAAGTCTCAGTGAGCTCAAACTCAGACATCGGGTGTGCGTGATGCCCCACGCACAGGCCCGCTAAAGTTTTTTTTGGGTAAGTTGCTAATTCGAGAGTTTGGAAAGCTAGACTGTAATTTTAAGGGGGTATTCTCCGTCTGCGTAGGTTGTTAATGAGCTCTAACCCAGACACCGGGTATGCGTGATGCCCACCTACGGATCCGCCAAAGCTTTTTCGGGTAAGTTGCTTACTCGCGAACCTGAGAAGCTGGAAAACTGGAACTTTGAAGAGTTGTTTTTTGACAGTCCTGGTGGCCAGTCTGAAATTCTTTTACAGTCCGTGCGTTGGTCAATTATTATACGTTTTGTGCAGCTATGCAGTGCAGAAAACGCATATTGACGAGGGGTTGTCTGTGCATGTGTCCGTGTGTGCGTCTCTCACGGTTTTTCATCTCAAGACCTACAAAAGCTACAAAGCTGAAACTTTGGGAAGTTAATCTACATGCACGTATGGGCCCAAATCCCCAAAATGGACGCCATTACCCACGTGGCACCCACGTAAGAGCCCTCCAAAGTTTTTTACTTGTAAGTTGCTAACTGAGGAGCCAGAGTTGCTTGGTGGCTGAAATTTTAAGGGGATGTTCCTCGTCCAAGTAGGTATTAGTGAGCTCAAACCCAACCCCCGGATATGCATAGTACCCACGTACGGACTTACCAAAGTTTTCCTCGGGTAAGTTGCTAACTCGAGGACCTGAAAAGCTAGAAGACTGTATTTTTAAGAGTATGTTCCCCGTCCAAGTAAGTCTAAACAAGCTCAGTCCCAGACATCGGATATGCGTTCGCACAGGCAGCACGTGCGTTGGCCAATTATTTTTAGTACTGCATTGAATTCTTCGTTTTCCATCTGAGGTGAAGGATTTGAGAATGTGAACGAGAAAGGGGAGTGAGCCTATTTCACCAAAAGCATTTTTAGGGAAGCAAAACAGCATGGCTTCATAGCTCACATTTCTGCGGTACCTTTGTATCATGTTTGTATAGTGCTGCACGACGTTGTTGAAAAGTTGCCAGACGTTGTTGCCTTGTTTCATTTCTGTTCGCTGTTTCCGACCTGTGATTTGTTGTTGACTGAATAAATATTTCTTTGTTTTTGATTCTGCCTATGAAAGAAACATTTTTTCACTGGTCAACGAACCTCATATTTTGAGAATTTGTGGACGCAGTTGAGGATGAGACAAAGCAACGAGATTTCTCCTCTAAGAGGATTGGGAGGAAGCTCAGGGATGCAAAGGTATCCATTAGCAGTGTCTGGGAATTTTATGAGATGTGATCGAGATGAAAAGCCCCAAAATTTCATTTTCCTTGTGGGACGGAAATACTCAAAAGTGGCTTTAGTGGGTAGCTTTTTGGCAAAAGTAAGCACCGATTGAGGGGAAATGTTGGGTGGGTTTTTTGGAGACAGTTTAGTTATTTTTGTGTACAGCTGCATTTATTTTGTTGATTTGGGAGCAATAAATGTACGCGATATCCCGCAAGCCTAAAGATGCGTATAGCAGGGGTTGGTGTAGGTTCGAGGCATCGCGATCGCCAACGAGAACAGTAAGACAGCGGAGGAGCAATGAGGTGAAGGAAGGATCGGGTGTTTCAGCGACCATATAAATAACCAGACTCAGCTATATTCAATAGTTGCAGTACAAAATAGCATTATGATTACGACAAAGTAACATCCGATGGGTAGGGTGTGTTGCGTGTTTTGTTGACAAGTGACAGACATAAATAGTACTGGTAAAAAAAAAGACCGCTTGGAGGGCATGAAAGCATCTACGTGTGACAGAAGTACGGAGAGCAGTGCTTCAACAGCTGTGGCACCAAATAAATTCGGGCCTTGTCTAAATACATGTTGGGGAAACGCCTGTGAAGCATGGATGGAGATTTGGCTCCCATGAACAGAACTGTACAGAAAACGCATGGACAAACCGGTATTGTAGTGTATGGCGTTATTTGCTATCTTTCAGGACAGAAAATGGCTTGGAATTTAAATCTCTGTGATTTCAACGGTTCAATTCAGCGGAACAGGCCACAGGAAGCGATTCTGTCTGATATGGTGGGTTGACCTCAAAGTATTTCTGTTAGAATATAATTTATTATATATTGCTGGGCGAGAACCAGTCTTCCCATTTAGGGAGGAGCTGGGATGGGAAAGTACGAGCAGTGAGCTGGGAAGCTTAAAGTTTGGCGCAAATACAGTAAAACCAGCCAGTTCGCGCCAAATTGCAACAAAAAACTGAAAATGTCTGCTTTGAGTAGCTGAGGCATGCAAAGATGTGGTTGAGTTTTGACCGGATACGCCCTGGAGTTGAAGTGGTTCTCTCTTCTTTCATGAATTTTATTTATGCAGCTTGTTTTGTAGGCGATGAAGGACAATTTCATGAAAAGGTTGGAAGAGGAGCGAAAAGAAAGGCAACTGCAGTACCGGTAACTATTTTTATGCGGTTTTTTTTGCATCTATGCACGAAAAACGAAAAAAAATCTTCGCACCGGCAGTCGGTGCGCTAGTTATTTATTTTGCACTGTAATGACAGACATTTTTCTGGCCTTTTCCTTGCCTTATTTAGAGGAATAGGAGAGCACGCGGGGATGCGAGGGGGGGGGGGGGGGGGGGGGGGGGGGGGGGGGGAA